TCGGGAGCAGAGCAAACAAGGACTTCCAAAAACTTCCAGAGGTGGGATCAGGTGCCATGTAGGAGTGAGCATCCCCTGCCGACCGGTCACACCCGCCGTGTGCTCCTTGTCATGATCGGTAAATAACGGGAAAATCCCTCAACAATTCAGTGTGTAAATATAATGGCCTAACAATTAGTATGAAAAACGTCAGTCAGCATATGACTTACGTGTACTGATGCTTGGTATTTAATTGACCGGTTTTAGCAAAGGTGCCACTCAAAATTTTACCAAATATTCTTGTGTACCTAACAACTTTGTCAGATATGATTTTAAATTAGTTTGAACCATGTACTGATGATGCAAAGTTATCTTAACTAATTACTCTCTAGGTACGGAATAAAGACGTGATCTATTAATGAATGTGGTTGAACTTGCTGCCCCCTCTCATGTTCCCCCATACAATGTCGGTTATACAAGTTAACTCACAGATGGTTTGAACAAGATGCAATTTTTACTGTCATACTCTATAAAAACATACAATATATACCGAATACCGCACTCGGATCATATCAACTTGATCTTCTAATTTTCTGTAACTTTAAAAGTTAACGAAGATTTATACTTTGGAATTCCAAACTATGCAATTAGCTATAGATAGCTCTATGATTCAAATATCTTTTTTTAAAAAATCTATTAAAATGAAGATAATATGAAACTGTTTTTGTTCTGATCATAGATGCCTACCGGATAGAATATAGAAAAGAAGTGTAAACGGTAAAATAACATATCTTATTTGAAAATGTTTTCGAAATGTTTTTGTTCTTCATGAAAAGACGTAGTTACATAATTTCAAGATTTATATGAAACTTGCACCATCATCTGAGGTATTTTGTAAGCATAATATTCCTCAATATTTAGCGGGTGATATATCATTTAACCCCCTGCTCATATTTCGATCCCCCTGAGTGCGAACTAGTCGTACAATTTAACAACGCTTCCTCATTATACACACTTCAGAATATACCCCAGGAGCCCAAAGAAAGACAGCATATACAAAAGGAATTACAAAAAAATGTTTTTCTTCTGTCTGAAATTATTTCCTTCTCGGCGAGATGACTTCACAACATTGTAATGAGTTTGGCTGAATAAGCCCCATAAATGCCAGCTCTTCGCGTGGGAGGAATGTTACCCGGGGTCGAAATGATCATAAAATATTGACAAGTTTGTTTACTTATGATTCTAATCATGGGAAATGAAAGCTTTTTGGCCAAAATGACACTTGATATAACCATCTTTAGTTCAGCCTTGATTTACATGACGGGACCAGTGAGGGAATGTTAAGAATATACGTGATCACAGCATCCCCGAACTGCGAAGATTTTTGTGGCTAACACCTGTACGGCTTTTTAATTTATGGAATCTTCCTTGTCATAAAGAACGAGCAAATTGGAAGTGTGTGGCCAGGAGATTGCGATCTGGGGTACAAATTTAAAGCTTTTTGTGGTAAATTTATGAACGCAGAGTTAGAGGAGGTCGAGCAATGAGCCGTTAGTAAAGGACCGAGCTCGATGAACAAACCAAGTGATTCATTACTGAGAGGAGAGCTCATAAATCCCGGGCTATTATTCCCGGATGACAAGTCCCTAAATGCTAACGATTATCAATGATACTTTGTATATTTTTGGGGTCTTGGGGTTAGTCAGTGAAGCTTCTCATCAACTCAATGAGTTTTAACGTTATGCTTCAGTAGTTTGCACGGAAGGTTTTTTGAGATCTTTTGTTCATTTTTTTTTTCAGAAAGATTAAAAAATGATCACTTTTCTGCACGAAAAGACATGCACCAAATGACAATTATAATATGAAGATAATCATTGAAGAATTCTTTTTATCCTAATTTTGGGATTAGGCCTTCTCTGATATAGAGCATTGACGCTATTTTTTATAATTTTGTGTCGTCCATGTATTGTTGTTGTCCGATCATTGTTGTTGTCCCTGCATTATTGTTGTCCGATCCATGTTGTCTATTTAGTGTGGTTGTCTGTGTGTGCTTAGCTAGGATAATATCAACAAATATTAAATCATTAAGGCGCAATGAGCAGCTGTAGATTTACCCTTGCCGCTATTTTTGGCTCGATCCGATATCAGCCCGATCAACAGCAGTTGTTTTAGTTTAAGGGTGTTTTTATAAAATAGATCAATCAGGCTCTAAAACACTTTGATGTGATCGTTCATAATTTTTCCAAATCCATTCTGCTGTTCAGGGTCAGGCGATACCTGATCTAAATGTGATGAACCTGCTCAAAGATCACTGCATATAACAAATGATCGGTAGATTTTAAACCTTCTACATAAAAGGATACAAGATATATTAACCTGTATCAAAATATGCAAAGAATTTTAAAGTACTAGTACACTGCTTGTCTTCAGGGTGAACTTTAATGACATTCTTTTTATAGAACAATTTTTATATGACATTTTATTGTTTATGTAGAGAGAATTTTATTGCGATCCTAATATCAAAATCCTAGACTGGTGAATTTATATACATTGTTAATGTCCAGGTGTCTAGCGAAATTGAATGCCGAAGAATGCTGCAAAATACATGTTGCAAATACTTTTCCTTGTTCACATGATTTGTCTTATGTATAGAATTCGAAGAGAATGCTACATTATATACGCTGCCTTTACAAAAACCTGAAGATGTAGTCTGTAATCAAAGCACATCAAACGATGCCAAGCAATGGTCGTCTAAAATGATACCTCTGTTATCAAACTTCAACAATATACATTGTACTTATTTCAGTGAAAATATCACAAAGGGGGTTTATGATTTAGCCCCCAGCAGAGAAAGCGTCAAAAAATTCATTATTCGTGAAATAAAGTTGTAATTTGTGGAACTACTCTCAGGGGCTCATTTTTCTATTGTCACTTAAATATGGCGAAATAGAATTCTAGTTTTTGTGGCGAGCGTCGATCGGTAATTTGTAAGCTTTTATCAATATCTGTATCACTGAAATTCATAAATCAAACTGCTCCCAAAGAAAACAATTTCATTCAAGTAAAATCTTAACGTGGGGGTTAGCTCTACGGGATACAACTTTTACTCTTTGTGTTTTAGCCAGACCTGGGATCTTTTTCGTCTCCCTGTTTTCGGGTATATCCTATCGCTGTTATCAAACTTTAATCTTTTTCTAACATAGTGACAATCTTGTTGCTATTGTCCCGTGAATTTATTGCGTAGGGTGAGAATTTTTTTCCAACCGTTTTATCAATGAAGGCAAACGTGAATTTTTCTTAGGTATAAAGCTATGCACCATCACGTACCGTAGCACGACTTGAGATTTCCGTTTTATTTTCTTGCTTTACCTATGTGATTACGTTAATTAAGCGCTGACCACAAAACAAAATTGCCCATTACCATTTTTATCGATTTATTGGAATCCTTTTTGGCAGTAAACATATCTAAATTTTAATCTACATTTTTGAGGTAAATTGTTGGCTACCCTTCTCTCAATGAAAGCTGTGACTTATTTGGTAGGTCCTTGTCTGGAAGCTTTTGATGTATGATGAATGAGTCACTTATTCGAACGCCGTCAATATATTGCATAATGAATAATAATATGGATTGTCTCAAATTATTTCCGTTCTGAAAGCTGATTCACTCCTAACTGATGTTCCCAAAATACATTTAAACACATTCATATATCAGTGTGAACTTTAAAAAAAAACTGAAGTTATATCTGGGGTGAAAATCTTATATTGCTTACAAGTATGTCTTGCACGAAGGTAGAAAGTGGAGTTCTTTCAAAAAAAAGTTACTTAAGGTCAGGGGAAAATTATACATGTATATATATCTATCTATTTGCAATCTATTTGCAAGCCAAATACTGTAAAAGAATATGAGAGACCTTTCACGACTGGCTTTAAGCGTCATAGAATTGTTTTAACTTTAAGAAATTAAATTGTCGTTAAATTCGCCTATCATTCTGCATATCTTAATTACAAGTCAATTTGACGAAAAGCCACCATTTGAGAAGGAAGCGAACCATGTGACACAGTAGTTTAGACTTCACAAAGTGTCGGTTATTTTGATAGACATTACAGATCGGGGTACGATTTTATCATCGATTCGTTGCAATTAAACAATTCTTTTGGTATTGTTTCTATTGTTCACACAAAAATTCCAAACATTTCTGACCATATTTTAGCTGCACAATTTTGATTATTTCGGAACCTTATGCAACACATAACCAATCATCCTGGATTAATGTCATTGGTAAGTAAGAGATTTACTTGCTAAGTTAAACACTTTACTAAAAAATTAAAGTATTAATGATTACAAAATTTCGCACTTTACATGACGTTTTACGAAGTGACGTTAAACGACAGTTTTCTGTTTATATTGGAGAAACATTGCTTTATTTGGTAATGGTAAAAAGTGTGTTAAAAAACATAATCTCTTTTAGTTTCATGTGGGAAAAAATTAAGGAAGATTTTTTAAATGTCATTCATATCCCGGTTCTTTATTTTTGTTATTAATTGGTCATTTTTGAGTGAAATAACCCTGCTGTGACAAGACCTTATAGTAACGGTGCGTTTGATTACCAGACAACAGCGACACCCCGCGGTTCATCTGACGGGTTAAAGTCGTCATCTAATTGACGTGGCAAAACGTACACTTCTAATGAGAAATCTTGCAAATCTTCACACACCAACTTCTTAACGCAAAAAGAATGTAAATTATCTAATCTTTTAATTTTAAATTAATCCCTATTTTTGTTAATTAATGAAATTGAAAGCTCTCCCCACTCAAGAAAAGAAGGGTCTGTATTTAGTTACACGGCGAATGGTTAGTGCAATATCGATAAGCGCAAAGGTTTTTTTTTGTAACCGCAAGCGTTATTATAAGTTTCGTGAGTCAGAGAAAAAATTCTCATCTCTTACGAGAGTACGAGCGAGGCAGCTTGTTTATATATATCGGAGTACGCATCGTAGTGAGTCAAACTGGCTAACAGATGTTCGTGTGTACACTAGTGTCTCTCCACTCTGTGATCTGTTAACATTATTTCTCTACTTGTTGATATTTTCTTTATTGGATTTAATGAAAAAAATAAGGTAAGATGATTCCTCAATCTGAAAATCACAGTGCTCTTAAAATTGCGTTTTATAAATATTTTGATAATAATACATGTTTGCAAAAATTCTTTTAGAACTTACACGATAAGCAGCTTTTGATGAGATTAGAATTAATTTGCACAGAATGGAATAAATAATAAATTAAAATAAAAACCTTTTTTTGACAAGATATTTGCATGGCCGAGCGGTTTAAGGGAATCCCTGAGGTTCGGGATCAGGATAACTTGAAGTTGTATAGGATAATTAAACCTGACACTTTATATCTGTTTTTAGCGATAACTGAGATAATTTATTGACTTTCAGACACTTCTACTAATTGTATCAGTAATTTATGACTTTCGGTACACCCGCGGTGGCACACAGGGTGTTGAGGTGCTAGGCTGTCAAGTAGTGGCGTGAATTAGTAGTCTAATGGTCCATAGTTTCTGCTCCGGGGTCAATTTCACAGACGATGTAATTCACCCCAAGACAACATAACATAAAATTTAGCCATGTCAATAATAGATTTTAAACCTGTTTTGAGGAATGCTAAAGTTTTTTTCAGAACCACTTGATTTTGCTTACAAACAAGTAAAAAATATGCTGAAATAATTTCTGAAGATAATCTGAAGATATACTGATGATATTCGAAAAAAAAGTTTTAGAAATTTTAAAAATTTTCATCGCTTACGCGGATATGGGATTTTTGAGTTAAACTTGACTTTGAACCGTCTTACAAAGGTCGCAAAAATAACAAGATTCCTGGGCCTACATAAAAAGCCAAAATCAAGTATTTCATTTTCCATTGATAATGTTTAAATCTCGGAATTATTTATTTACGTTTCCTGTTTAAATTGAATAGCAAACATGAACTGCAAAGCTTAAAAAATTTACAGCTAAATGAGGTTGATAAAGTCTTCTCCTTGTTACAAATTGGCAAAATTGAGCTAATAAAATATTCCCAAAATACCTGTTTTTACAACATATATATCTACGATTGACTGCCAAAATTTGGTCGTGCTCTAAGCCACCCTTCACTAGTTGAACTCGTTTTAATGTGTTAAAATTGGGTTTAAAATGGAGGAAGAAAAACTTAATATGTACGATTGACAAAAGATAGTGAAATCAATATTTGCGGATGAACCCAAATTCGGCACGAAACGGTTTACAGGGGATTACAGGTGCTATAGGATAAAAAAAATAAAGTAACTGTCGCTTGTTGACAGTTCAGAGAGAGGCCGGGGAAGGACTTATTGACAACTAGCAGGATTGGGGAACAATAGGTTGTATGAACAGTTGGCGGCTTTTACGACCGCCCTCTGCCGGCGAGTCTTGCCTACTGATTCTCCGTTTTCTATTTACAGCGGACGAGTGGTCGTGTTTCTTCAGTCGTCACAGACCCACAGTGAATAGATCAGCTGATAGAAGTCAGTCTACCCGATACATGAACATGGAGCAAGATACCTGATATTCATTTCATTCACACGACAAGGCGTGATTTATAACGGAATGCCCTTCTAAATTGAATACTATTTTGAAGTAAAATATTCTTAAAGGGAAATACAGCAGAGTGAAGACGGATATTTTTGTTTTCTAGTTTTTGGAAGTTTTTGTGCCTCAGTTTGACACAAGTATGAACAAAATGAAGCTTGGCAACTTATTTTACGTGTTTTCTCTCATTGGTGTTTTATTTTTTGTGGATTCCAACAACGCTAAATCGCAACGTTCAAAGTCTGTTAAAGGATGCAGATGTCGTAAATTTTACAAACACATCACAAGTGATATAGATTCAAAATTCCGGTCCCTAGAGAAGAAACTAATGCTACATATGTCCGCCTCTGATCGAGTTCTTAATTCTACAGGATCCTATAGGGAACTAGATACAAAAATGGGACGATTAAGGGGAGAAGTTATCCACACGAAAAAAGCATTGAATTCGGAGACAGAAACCCTACAAAGACTTAAAGAACAAATTCGATCTCAAAAGAAAAGCATGGAAAACATAGATAATCACTTTGTTCTTTTAGAGGATGTTGTTAAAAACTTGACGGAAGTGATAGGGAGACTGGGTAATCTGGCCCCGTCCATAGCTGTACACCGGACTGTAACGGAAATACTGACGACACCGACACCAACCGTCCAAGTAAAAACAACCACGGAGCCTGTTAGGGCCTACCCCAGACGTAAGTATCTTGTTCATTTCAAGCCGAGTCTTTTTTTTCCATAGTAATATATACTTATAGTAATAGTAATAGTACATAGTAATATATACTTTTGCTCATAGTAATATAAATATTTCATTTTCCATTGATAATGTTTAAATCTTGTAAATAAATGTTTATAATATATATAATTTTTAGAGCAATTGGTACCGTGTTCGGTACGTTTTATATGTTTCATTTTATTCAGTAATAAATTGTCCAAAATTATTGTAATAGCAAAATTTAGTAAAAACCCAACATTTTTGTTGGTTTGACAGTTTTATCTGTAAAAATGTCAAAAAATGAAGGCAATAAATTTCATGCTCTAGTATTTCAACGTCCTTGCAAGAATATGTAGAATGCGACTTATCAAAATAACTGTAATGTCATTGGCTAGAAATAGTATATAAAGACGCAGGTGTCGGGGAGATTAATGTATAAATATTCCTGTATAATGTGCCTTTTTGTGGCATGTAATATACCATATGATATTAAAAACTTAATCTTGTCTTTGGGTATATTAATATAAAGAAATGCGCGGGGGGACTTCTGACGAAAGTTCTGCAATATCTTTTCGAAATAAAGGAATATTTCATAGAAATAATCACAGAGTATGGTTCTTTCTTTAGACAATTACAAAACCGCTACATTAATATTTCTGAAAGTCAGGAAATTTTAGATACGGTTCTAACATTTGCAATCAGCCTCCAGAGATAATAAAATTATTTAGACCTACGTACTGGAATAATTCGGTAGGCATACTGACGTTGAATTTACCGCCACCTTAAGGTTCTGGGGCGTTAATCCTTCTACGAGACAGAGAGATATTAAGACATGTTAATGTAGAATTGTGCTTCTGTGCACTGGAAATCGTATGCTTTGTCATCATCGTAACGAGATAATCCAACAATCCCATACATTTAGTTCACGCCCACCCAGCAAAATGTTTAAAAATTATCCTAGGATTTAAAATGAATAAAACCCCATATTTTCGGGAAATGAAGATGCGCAAAATTACAAATGTATCTACATATCGTCAGAAAGATATGTAAAATATTGATGAAGTTTTATGAATCTCTTTGTTGGAGGTCTTGATCTGATTTATTGAGGAATAATTTTCGATTGGGGAATCAAATGTCAAGGCTTAGGTGGATCTACAAAAAAGCATGTGGTGACCTAGAAAGTCTAAAGGCTGAGTAAATGTCTATACCTCCTAATTCAAAACAGACCTCGCTGCAAAATTGGGTGGCGGGTCGAAACAATACATGAGAAATTAGTCGGAACTCCTTCAACGAGCTAGACTGAAAATGAAATAAACTGAAGAAAATATTTTAGAAACAGCAAACAATCAGTAAATCAACTTTTTCACAAGTTATTTGCATTCATTTTGCTATTCGCGCTGACTCGTGCACTCGAACACACCATGTTGTTATTATTGACAAGATAGGGTCTTCCTATTGTTGATTAATTTATCAGAGATCTTGTTTAGAGAGCGCGGAAAAGGCGTCGACATATGAAGTGAATAGAGTCAGTTATCTAGCATAAACAATCATCTTGTTATGACCTATCTCACAACAAACCACAAAATTAGCCTGGAGTGCTCGGGTTCGGGGTTCAGCAGGTACCCGTGGTAAATGGCTAACAGCTGGCGAAAGAACTCCAATATTTGTTCATCGAATTAGGATTTGCACTTCTTTTAAAAGAAAAATCTATTTAAAAACATACATAAAATATTTTTTCTTTATCTTCTGTTTAACTTTTTACTTTCGCTGGAATTTGTATGATCTCCATTTAACAAGGTCAAGTTAAGCATGGGTATTTGGCGTGAAGTGCCAAATTGGCGTACAGACTGGTGATATACATGAACGATCGTTAATTTGATGGAAATTTTGATTTCGTTTTACTTTAAACAATATTTATTCAGAAAAATTATACTGGATTGGGCAATAGCACTGATTTTGCTTTATCTTACCAACTCTGAAAAGTCAGCGGATGCCTTTTGCTGTTTTGTCGATTTCATTTCTTTCCCTTTTGACCCTTTGCGCTATCGAAAGTTTCTTCACAGGTTTTTGCATTCCAAAAGTATTTATTTTACTAGATATGATTTTGTAAAGTCAACTCCATTATCATATATATTTAGGTCCAATTCCTGCAATTGTTGGCGAGCTACATTTTTGGCATACTTAATCAGTGTAAACTAACTGGATTACCGAGTCGGGTCCTAGATTTTTTTCGTATACAAAAGACAAAGATAATGTAAAGATATGAAATCATTACAAACAGGGAGAGCACATGTATGCTTGCACATTCACAAGGGCCATCAGATCATTATACAGGTTATGTAGTACCGAGCTCACATTATAAATTGCAGAAATCTCTTTAATTCAAAGTAGCCATTAAAATAAACCTTAAGAGAGTCTGAATGGAAGATGCATGTTCTACACCTTCTTTTTTGAAAATGCAAAGATAATTTTTTTGCTTTATTAATTCATAACTAAATTACAATGACACTTTTATAGTTTATTACCATCTTTAATTCTAGAAACACAACTTTTTCCCCAAGGTCACACGGTTTTTGTTGACATGTAGATTTGAAGATTTGAAACTTCTTTTTCATTTTCGAAGAAGCAATGAGAGAAATATTCTATTCAAATGTTAAAAAAGCAAAGTGTATTGAATGACGACAAAGTTCTCCAAAAATGATCACCCTTTGAATCCTAGTTCTTGTCTTTGTATGGCAAAGATTGAAGATATACACCGCTTATATCAGATACATCTAATCAGTGGATTAAATACTGTGATACATCCGAATGTGAAGAAAACTCGGTGACGGACAGGTCTTTAAGCCTATCAGCGCATGACTCACCCGTAAAGAAAGATCAAACGATACCGCTGGACGGGGTAAATTTGTGAACAATTCAGGAAACTTGACCCCATATTTTGTCGACACTGAAGTCATTGTTTGTGTCCAATCATCAGTTTTGGACCATGTAAGACAGACACAGAAACGACTTAATCCAAACAACAATGTCAAAATCATGCATCCCTGTCTTACACCTGTGACGGCTTAATATAGGGTCAACACGAGATAAGTTACGCTACATTGTGACAATCTGAAATCTCTTTAACGAGATCAGCGATTGAATCATCGTGTTTGTCGACACTGCGTAAAAGATAGCGATTTTCTTTTGTGTAATCTTTTAGAGAAATCAATGATTGGGAAGGACAGGGTGGGAACTTAACAAACCTCCTCCTTATTAATAGTATCAGAAGTTTAACAGCTTAAAGCTATCCAATAAATGATTAAAACTAGCTCTCACATAACCACGCCTTCGCAGTCTTAAAAAATACAACATCAATACAAATACGGTAAACACAGAAGGTAATTTTAGGATATAGAAGACGGGAATATCTTTTTTTATTGATGAAAAGTTTTGTTCATTATTTTACATGTTATAATCACCATCTTGTAATCTGCATAGTATAAATAAAAACTGTCGTGTTTTGTTTTAAATTTTGTCAAAATCCACAAGAAAATTTCTCCAATTTTGGGCAGGACTTTCTGTTCCCGGCAACTGGAAACAGACAACGACAAGAAATTAATCAGTCAACTCATTTAACAGAGTATTGGATCAGGGGAAATTGTTACTTTGAACCTATCCGAGTTATTGCTTAAACAAGTCTTTGTCGCTGATAAGATTTAAAAGGAAAAAGCAGATGTGATAAAAGTCAAAAATTACTCAGTAGACGGGATGATTTAGCGTCAGAGAGTTATCACAGACTAGGAAAATCATCAATTTGTTTTGTGATCAATTTGCGATATTGTTGCCAAAAGATCATAATAACTTAACGGAAACCACAAGTTATGGAACTTGGCAAAACACAATAAGGCGATAATTATTGCTTGTATATTGTACTCTCTCGACTACTTGATCCCAGAATTCGGGTTTTGAATGTATTATCAAAAGAGAGCTTACAGATTTTTCAGGAAGAGGGAGGATTCTCTACTTCAAAGCGATTTAATAGATCAGTTCATATTTAACAGCCCGGATAAAATCTTGCAATATTGTTCACAGTCTGATCTCATGGCAGTTGAAATGAAAGAGAGATTAAAAAAAAATTAGATCTTTACTTTATTTTTTAAAAAAGACAATTTGACTGTTGAGCAGCCATTATGTAACCGTCTAACAATTTTCCTTGATGAAGCCTAGATGTAAAAGCCACTTTAGAAGACAACCATGTGTTTCTAAGAATTAATGAAACATCCACTGACTCTGTCTCAAGTGATTAATTGCAGTTTTACAAAATTTTCAAGGCTCTAAGAAATAAGCCACTGCGCAGAGCAATCTTTCTTAAAGAAAGTTTAGAAATTCATATTGAACTTTTCGGTAAGACAGATCTGCATTTTATTCATCATACTATAATCATTAATTTTTTAAAATCCTGTAACATTTACCTATACCACCCCATCTGGACTTTTAATTATTAAAAAAAGTTGAAGGTGATTTAGATTTAAATGAAACAAAATTCCCCGTCCTATTTCTGAAGAAAAAAGAGGTCTTTATAGGAGCCTTGTCATGTAATGGCTTGACGCAACTTTGTTATTTTATCCACGTTTTATTAAGTAGTCTTATTTCATTATTAGAATGTGAAAACATCGCTGGATAATCTAATATTATAAAATCTCTAGGCAGTACTAGTAGTTATGTTCGTAAACATTGACTAATCATGGTATAAGGTTACAGTCTTAAAGTGATTTTTACATCCTTGTACGGAGAGAGAGAGAGAGAGAGAGAGAGAGAGAGAGAGAGAGAGAATCCATGCACTTGGATAAGCTAATGGAATCAACCATTTTATCTAATGTTATGCCATATCAGCAGCAAAAAAGTCATACACAGAAATAAAATTAAAGAGAACAGTTTGGTTATAATCTTGATGGATAGACATAACCTGATGTAAATTCATTTGCCCAAATGCTCTGTCTGTCTGGAATATCAAAATATGATGTTTCCAGAGCGTGATAGCTTACCGCTAACCATGCTATTTACCAAAGACGTAGCACTCGAGATGTCAGTATTCTGTTAAGATATAATAAATGCCCTTAATTTCTACCGAGAACAAACGATTTTCCACCACATCAAGACTCATCATAATGTGTAAAATATGTAGGGCTTCTGCAGAAGTGTAAGACACTTTGAGCATACCCAGGTGACGTCATTAGATCTATTTTCCTTAACAAAAACAAATTTCTTCAAGAGGTATATGTATAGATCGTGATCTTAGGTGCACTAGTACTAACAAAACCATACAGACGTAAATTTGTGGCGGAACTCGCACATTTTCTTTCTCATTGTAACAAATTTAATAGGATTGCATTTTCCTGAAATATAATTAAATTCGGTGTAAAGTCACTTATATTTCCTATTCCATGTCAATTGATTCGAGCTTTTCTAAGATTCACAGTGAGTTGTATAAAGTACATTTTACCACACACCCTCAAAACACTGGTCGATCTTTAACGAACCGTGTACTCCTTGTCTTTGGCAAATCAACTTCAAAGAGTTCATTTAATTAAACATCTTTATTATTGGAGGTTAAATCTATAAACAAGGCAGATTTTCCTTTGCTAAATGTTTGCATTCGACTTTTTGGACTTTAGACAGCGTTGTCGGAATTTGCCAGAAATATGCTTACATCATCTACTTATCTTAAGCGTACCAAAAATCTCTAAATTTTTGAATTGTTTTCAAGAAAACGCTGTATATGAGTTCGATAAAAAGGAACTCATGCTGAGAATGACCCTTGGCCGAGGTCCTGAAATATTATGTCCTAAGATCGAGAACCCTAACATTGGGCGGCTGTTGTTTTTTTTAGTGATAAACGTTAGAATTCCTCTGGCATACATCTTCCTTTGAAATCTTAATACACTGGGAAACAAACAAAACGACTTCCTCTTCTGATATGTAATCATCCATTAAGACATAATAGTATATCTTGGTCACATTTTCTGAGTTCATCAAGTGCTCACACCGTTTGTTTTTGTTGATATGCTTACTACAACTAACAGAAATGTGTATGATTTTGTTAATTATAAGCTAGTTTTCTTATTTTTGCAGATTGCCATGATGTATACAAACATGGTGGACTTCGTTTCCAGGGAGATTACTACATCATGCTACAGCCAGAAAAATCCAAGAAACCTTTTAAAGTTGTCTGTAAATCCATAAACAATACAGGAGGTAAGCACTGCAAATTGTCTGCCATCATGTATAATGGTTATGAAAATACTGTTCCAATATCATCATTCACATTTTCAGATTTGTTCAGATTTTTTTTTTCAATTTTGCATACATTGACAACAATGTTCGTATATTTGTCAGGTTGGACTGTGATTCAGAGACGCCAAGACGGCTCAGTAAATTTTTACAGAGACTGGAAGACGTACAAAACCGGATTCGGGTCTCTTTCCGGAGAATTCTGGATGGGGAACGACAAAATCTACGAGCTTACTAACCAAGGTGATTTATTATATGAACAAACATCACAAAATAAACACAGCAATAAATAAACATTTAAATATTTCACATACAAATTCATTGGAAAGACAGAAGGTCCTCAACATTCATCGAGTATTCAGATAAATTAATAGTCATCTTGCTTGATCTGGATTTTAGTTGTATTCTTCCGGTTCTTCTCTTATAGTGCTGTCTTGTAGACGGTTAGCTTCGATTTCTTTTTTGCCATACTTAACTTTAAATTTATATATCTGACCATCCTCTAAAAAGAAAACATAAGGGCATCAAAATATTGTAAAAGTTTATCTTTACTTGTCTAGCTTTAACCAAAGTTACAGTTTGTACAAACTCTTACTTGGATCTAGGTAGCGACCATCAAAGTCTCTGTCCTGAATTGACACAGGTCGTCTCTTGATGGTGGTAACGTAAGGTGTACTGATCTGGGGGTTAGGATTATGATAATTCCTGGGTGTCCTTGGCTGTTGGTAACCTGTTAGAGAGGGTACACTTTGGGCCCGCGTAACGACCCTTCCGCCGTGACTTTCCCATCTGGAGAGGGCGGGGGCAGTAAACGGTGGTCCTCCTTTACTTTCATTTGCCTGTGACGTATTTGCAAACGGGGGTGCAGTTCTTATTACAAAGGGTGTCTGTGGTTCTTCTTCAATTATGCTAAGTTTTCCCGATGCGAGTGAGTCGCCATCTGGCGATCTAGGTCTATATCCTTTTGTTGCTGGCTGTTTATTTGTTACTGCTGTCCATGGATAAGCGAAAACTTGATCCTGGGCCGGCTGGATATGTTTAGTATTGTGATGAGGACAGTTTATATGATCATACAGCATGGATGGAATATGTAGGCTGCTGGTACTGGGAAAACAATGGCACACTGAAGGATCGAAATCTTCGTCGTACAAACTGTTTCCGTCCTCGTCCAGTCGTAGAATATTGAGCTCTATCCTCGGCGGTTGGCCTTTTTGTCTTGGTAAATAAGCTGGCACTGGTCGACGCACTGGCGACGCCATAATGTCCAAAATATTGTTACAGTTTATCCTAAAATAATAAAAAAAGTTTTTGATTAACATTGGTCGCTAATTATTGGGGTATCGTAGTGATGCAGCAGATACCCTTACCACCCATGTCCACTATTTCTCTGGTTTCTAGAAGTGGACCAAAATATTGATGTCAAAATGTTTGTTTGTTCAATGAAACCTCCTAGCTGCGCTGATGAATGACAGTTTGAAAGAGTAGAGAGTTAGCTTATCAGTATTATAACATACCGACACATTGTAAAGCAGCCTCTTAAAGGAAAATTGATAACATTTTTGACTTATCGGAGGTGATTTTGGTCTATGGCCCTGTGTTGCTGATATCATGCCATTGTTCTACCATAAAGGTCCCCAGTAAAGCAAATAAAGCCACACTGCATTTTTCCAAAGTACATTAAAAAGAGTAATTATTTATTTTGCATAGAAGATAAACCTTTCTTTTTTTATAGAATTTATCGTCTTCAAAACATTAACCTCAAACCATTATAATTATGTCTTTTAACGGTTTTTCCAATTTTGTTTTAGGACCTTTCCAGTTGCGTATAGATATGGAGGACTTTGATGGCAGGAAGTACTATGCGGTCTACAATTACTTCCGGATTGACGACGAGTCCGAAAATTACAAACTCCACGTGCGAGGTTACCATGGCAACTCTGGAGATTCTATGACATCAGTGCGGGACAACCACAATGGAAATATGTTCAGTACCCACGACCGTGACAACGATAGACGAGGGTACAACAACTGCGCCCGCCATTACAGGGGCGGATGGTGGTACTCGGATTGCTATGACTCTAATCTTAACGGACAATATTATCCACAGGGTAAACACATCAACTTTTTTAACCGCGATGGCATTCACTGGAATAGCATTAATATGAGCTCATCATTGAAGTTTGTGGAGATGTCTGTGCGGCCAGCAGACGACAAATCGTCAGAAAATAAGGTGTAATGTTCTTGGTTTGACAGCGCATGCTCAAAGCCTTTTACAGAGGTGCTTATCGTTGGAAATACGTGATTGCTAGTCAGATTTTTCATGAATAAACAATTGATGCCATTCATGAAAGAGACACAGGAAAACATAATACTCAATAAAGCAAGAATGCTTTGGAGTTTAACATATTGTGATAATAGCCAGATTAAGCGAAGAAACGCGGATGGTGTTTGAAATAAATTACTGCGAACCTTGTTTCCTGGAAAGTTAAGACGAAATCTCGAAGTGTTCGAGAATGTCCGAGATGATTTTTCCACTGCCAGTCACTGTTTAAAATAATAATAATGTAGTTTTGCAATATCAGCTGCACAAATGACATTGTAAATATTACTGTAATTCATTCATATCCATTATTCATTATTTATTTGCTAAATATGTACATTTCAATTCACGTGTTTCGATATGTACATATGTATATAGACGTTCATTACAGTTTTGAAGATTTTCCGTTTTCCAATTAACGGAAGGTCTTGTTTTAGTAAGTTTAGTGCTAATCTGCATTCTGGCGCTAACAAATGAACTTTGAAGTGTTGGACCAGGCGTTATTATATCTTGTTCAGCATAAATTGTTACAATTTCACAAAAACGTATCTCGGCATTGTTAGAATTTTTCATAGAGATACAGTGTAATATATTGATATTTAGCAATGTCATTACGTTGTCATTCTTTGATTTTTATTTTTATATAAAAAATTTAATTGTTGGATGGTGATTAAAGCCTATATATGTCCGTGCCTTTCCTGGTCGATAAAGTACGGGTAGATCGAAATAAAGAAGATCCCTGATGTCTATGAAGAGTTTGTCTTTTTTGAGTGATTGGTTTAAATGATTGGTAAAAAAATCGAGTTAAGTTTTAATGATTGATATTTTCCATGACTTAATAAACGTAAGGCTGCACAACATCATATTAATGTTTAAATTATTGTGTAAGGACGTGCGGTATCATATTCGGTTTTTGATTTCTTTTTTTCATGTATACAGAGTGTGGACGCGATGAAAACAAATAAATGGCTTTAAAGTGTATCACTAGATTTATTCCATAGTTGTGTGCCAAAAAGAAAAATTTTGTCCGTAAAGTGGGGAAAAAAATCAAGTGCGCGTAAATGCATACGAAGGTCAGATCAAAAACACTGTAATGCATTATGTCCACATTTGCCCCCTCCCCCAATTGTACAATATATTATTACAGGGAAATGTGTGCACGACGAAAGAATCTATGTGATAGGCCAGCAACTGCTCTGGACATCTAAATTTTGAAGGGCTTTTATTTTGGTAAACAGAGAATGTTTGAAAGATTCATTTCTGAAACTTTGACACCATACTTTCGTACGTGACATTATTTTTTTTTACAACCATATCATCTTTCTGGCAGTGCCACGCTTCTGACCTTGGACGTGTGACAACTATTTACATTGATCTTGCCAAATTTTGGATGTCGGTTTGATGGTCATTGGCAACACTTACCACCAGCTGTTAAACTGTAAACATCACCTCTGAGTCTGAATCTTCGTAACGTGCTCACTATTATAAAAAGCTCACGTGGACAGAAAAAGTATCACACGTGTTTCTTTATATCTGGAGTGGTAAAGAGTGGTACGACGGAAAACATATATCTTATTACTACACATGCATAATGCTTAGTAAATTTATTTGTTCAAGTGCTGTGTCATAAACTAGGGTCGTCTAGTGGATATAAATTCACTTTCTTGAGGAAAAACAAAACGTACTGCCCTTGGACCTCAGTCTCACACACTAATAAAACAAAGTATATTTGTGTATTGCTTACTAATGAGTTTGGCTAAAGGTTGAGGAGCAGTGATCAAATTTTGTCCCTAGAGTTGTGGTGGGCATCCAAAATAACTGATCTCGTCTGCAGTGTCTAACGAGTTGTTATTATAGAGAACCATACCAGCCAAAGCTGGCAATGTACTTCATATCCAACCACCTAGAATATTATTTTATGTCTGCAGATTATTTATTTATCTATCGGATGATTAGTGGGAAATAAAACGATTGCACGTACATCCTATGTTCCCCACTGGCTGACAAATCCCGCTCTATGACGTCACAAAGAAAGAACTCGATGCATAAGGAAGTTTACTGGAATTTCAATGTCAAATTGGATGAAACATCGGTGAAAAATTTAAAAAAATATCTTTCATCAAATGCTTAAGATTGAGTACTTCATGTGTCCTTTGAGGCTTACGTAAACTGACTTCATTTTTTTCTCTCCTTTGGGGTCAAAAACTGCTTCCGTGAGAAGAGCTTCCTAAATAAAATATAATGTAAACTATTTACGTAAACAGGGAAATGGTTGACTTAAATAGCAGAGAGGCTTTTCACGATCTCTGTGTATTTACATTAATACATTCTTGCAAATCATTTGATGGAAGCGCGTCTCTCTCTGAGTGCATCCAGTCTCCATGACCAGCGCAGATCATGCCACCTTAAGGACCCTATAGCTAGCATGCTAAAGAGTTCTAATTCTGTGATATTTTAAGAAGTTAAATTGATCTCCTCTTAAATATGAAATAAAAATAAGTTGAAACAATTAAAATGAATTCAATCATTCTCAGTCAACTTTTTATTAGGCCAAGCAAGAGGAATAAATTGAACACTATCCACCAATTTAAGTAAGCAACAGCATTTTCTGTTCATCAAAACTTTGTTGTCTATAAGCATTTTCTCGGGGTGGGGGTGGGGGGTTAAATGGGTGGTGTCTCAATGAAAAAAGAACGTTTAAACTATGTATTTATACCTTTATCATGTTGTAAATTTTGCATTTACTAGGGGGAGGTAAATGCAAAATGTTGTAAATTTTGCATTTACACCCCCTTAGTAAATTCAAAATTTACAGCATGATACCTTTATATAAAATATTTTTCTCAAGTCCAAAGAACATTTTTATTTGTGTATAAAGGGTCCTTAGGTGTAACCACTGTACGGTAATGGAAAACTGGTACTTTTCCCGCTACTTAGTCTTCAAAATTGTTCTTCAAACAGTGGAGGCATTGAGGATGTCAAGATTTTACATGTGTTTATCCAGGAGATGTGACTCTCTTATTATGGCGAAATCTTTAGAGATATACCAATTCTGCATTTATACAGGGTAAAATAAGGCAACAGGTGATATTGCATATTTGTTCCCATACCAAAGTCTTCCTGGATCTACGATGCTACAACATTAGTAAATGATGAAGTATGAATAAGTCATCATATGTGAAATATAAAGTCAGTATTGTATATTTGCACTGTCTATCTGAATAGCACAAATCAATCAGCAATTCGATTCCAGGGGGTTATGATAATTTCTATAAATCAGTATCATTTTTCATTTAAATGTGCTTCTTTTTAAACATCAGTTAAAGCCATAATTTTATCATATTAATCTAAATACATTTAATTCCAACAGTTATTATTTTACCATGTGCGCTTTATACATCTTAAATAGAATATATTTGTTTGTTGTTTTGAGTTACACCAGATAAATCCATGTTATATATCTAAGGGCCAACTTTTCACCACGTATGCTTTGCTTGTGGTATTCAAAGAGATCTTAGCAAGCTGTATACACGTGTATGAAGAACGGATTGCTGGCACTTGCTTTGAAAACCATGCTGTAATAACTTCAATACACAAATCTTGAAAAAGATTGAAATATTTGTAAATACAATATTTCTTGCTTCAAAAACTTGGCAAGATCAAAGTTTGGAGATAGGACAAGAATCTGAGCTTTCCTTTAACCGATAGATATGAAAAATCGCTCTCTATGCAATCTTCCAAATGCACTTTGTCAAAAATTTCGCCCCCTCTACTTTCAAGAAAGGAACTGATTGTGCTATCTAAATTTGCTCTTAACATCATTGGTGATAAGATGTGTACATACGTATCTTTTTTCCTAAAAGATTTCATTGATAAGATTTTAGACATGCTTTCCGATGCAATTTCTATTTTAGGAACTCATTATAAAAAGGGATATTTTATTCTGCAATAAAGTGCGATAAATATCTATGTACGGTACTCTGTTAACATATGTTGATATTGTGTCTTTACTAATTATATTTTAAACGTCGTATTGGAAGATTTGAGACACGCTGATTCCCATTTCATTTCTCAAAGGTTTACAGCATTAACAACAAATGAATCGACAAATAATGAAATATTGGCATATCAAAGTCAGAATGGACAAAATTAGTCTACGATAAAGGAAAAAAAAACAACACAAGCAGAAAAACACTACCTCAGCATACAACATTGATAATTCATCCCCAACATACAAAATTGATACTGAGTAATGCATCCCCAGCATACACTATTTGTAAAACATCCCCAGCATACAATATTGGTAAAGCATCCCCAGCATACAGTATTGGTAAAGTATCCCCAGCATACAGTATTTGTAAAGCATCCCCTGCATACATTATTGGTAGAACATCCCCAGCATACAATATTGGTAGAGTATCCCAAGTACACAATATTGATAATTAAAGTATTCCCAGCATACAATATTGGTAAAGCATCCGCAGCATACAATATTGGTAAAGTATCCCAAGCATACAATATGGGTAAAGTATCCCCAGTACACAATACTGATAAAGCATCCCCAGCATACAATATTGGTAAAGCATCCCCAGCACACAGTATTGGTAAAGTATTCCAAGCACACAGTATTGGTAAAGTATTCCAAACATACAATATTGGTAAAGTATCTTTAGCATATAGTGTAAATCAACCTGTCCAGATATCAAAATCTTTCACTTTAAAAGTAATGGATAAATCTACATTAAATGTCACAAAAAAGGGCAATATAATTTACAGTTACTTTTGAAATATGCTTATATAGATATTCATTATGTAACGTATTTGTTCTTTAAAAATTAATTTGTATTAACCTCCTAAGCACAGATGTCAGTTATAGGCATCAATTAAAGCTTTCTGGGTCTGTGTTATATATACCAGCATCAAATTTTCATTCAGGAAATCTCTTCAAACCTCACTCTGTTTCTAACAACAAAATACTTGCCAATTAATGCTATATGTGAATGACATCGAGATATTAATCAGGAATGCAGCAATCAAGGTCAACACCAAAACGAATTTATATATAAAAAATGTTTAGGGTTTCTAAGTTGGTACATGCATAAGACACTGGATTTGTAAACATTGTAATTTGATATGCCCCTTGATCTTGTAGAATTTACACTTTTTAAAGTCGTGCTCTTTCTAAACGATTGCTTCTCGTAATGTTAGATGGCCTGATTTTCAAGTAACGAACTCAAACACTCGAACAAGTGGACATGAAGAGATCAGATACGAATCAGCACCGAGGCAACTTATTCCACTGAACTTCCGTTATAAGTTGACTGATCTTCAAGAATGGAAGGAAATTGGCATCGAGATAGACGAATCTCTTTTATTCTTATCATCTGAATATTACGTAGATAATAGATAGATCGGGGATGTAAATGTGAGCAACAGATAACATCTGCAATTATTTTTTGTAGACGCTTTGAGTTAATTTCGTCTCGGAAAGAGAATCGAGGGGAGGTTGATTGTGATTACCATTAGTTATGAGGAGGAGTTGATGTTGGAGTTGATTGGATGAGTTACGAGGGTGGAGTTAATTGTATTAGTTACTACTGAGGTGGAGTTGATTGGATGAGATATGAGGGTGGAGTTGATTGTATTAGTTACTATTGAAGTGGAGTTAATTGGATGAGTTATGAGGGTGGAGTTGATTGTATTAGTTACTACTGAGGTGGAGTTGATTGGATGAGTTATGAGGGTGGAGTTGATTGTATTAGTTACTACTGAGGTGGAGTTGATTGGATGAGTTATGAGGGTGGAGTTGATTGTATTATTTACTATTGAGGTGGAGTTGATTGGATAAGTTATGAGGGTGGAGTTGACTGTATGAGTTACTATTGAGGTGGAGTTGATTTAATAGTTACGAGGATGGAGTTGATTAGAGAGTTACGAGGGGTGGTTTCGTGTAAATTTTGAATTGCTGGGTGGAAGTAAAAAACAAAATTTACAACATAAGTTGTCATGTTGTAAAGTTTGCATTCACCCTCATTCAGTAAATTAAAGATTTACAAGATAGTGAAGTTGATAAAGAACTAAACGCAGTAATAAAATTACTTAAAGAGGCTGGGGGTGGCCATTTTTAGACTATATTGATCTCCTTTAGAAGAAGAGCTCCATATGAAGATATAGAAAATGATCAAATTTTAAAACTAAAATTTTTGAAATTTTTCTTTGCCAAATGATAGTTGACAGCTTAAGGATGGATTCTTGTCAGCATTTTACGTCGTCAATGGGTCTCCATAAATTATGCAAGTCGTAAAATGCAAAATTCATATTTAATTATACTGAAGGAAAAACTATTAGTTAATTTGTCAGTTTAAGTAATGTTGAATCTATTTCTTTTGAAATTAATAAATTTTTCGTAATATTTTCTTTGATTTGCGACAATCGCCATAATATTCGCAGTTCGGTAGCGAATGTCTACATGTCCAGATCATTTTCCGTAGAAAACCCTGAGAGGGTTGTTTTGTAAAATCTACAAACTGTGAACATTATCGAAGCATTGCAGAAACCCAGGGACAGTTATGACAAATTAAATCATAGTTATTTATGCCCGGGAAATTACGATCAGCCAAAAGGGAAGCTTGAACTTGAAGCTAGGTCACAAACATGTGCAAGATTGCAGATCCACGTTGCCTCGTCTGAAGTCATGTCGTGTGCAGTGAGCATGTAAGTTAGTTATATATGTCTGAAGATTTTTATAATTTTGAAATTGAATTCAATTACATGCTGGTTTGTATTGATTTATGGGAATTCGCACG